CATCTTCCCATGATATTACAGACTCCTCATAAGCATCACTTTTAATAAGGGGCAAGCTATAAATAAATATGCAAACTGTCAGAGAAAATAAGTCAGGTATGCTGATTGAAGAGGGTATTTCATAGGCTACACATGTGCAAGAGCAGGTTGGCCAGTCGGCGGGCCCACCAACAGCATTTTCAGAGCATCTTCTGGGAGAGGCCTCTTCCAGGTGCAGTGAGTGATACAAAGAACACATAAAGAGCCTATGGTTGTACCCAGGAGGCCCCAACAGACTCAGCACCAGCCAGGGTGTGGCCTTGGTCATAGACAGATAGCCTACAAAAGGGGCAAGGGACCCAGAGGGAAGTCCTGGCCTCTGGGAATAGGGAAGGGCAGGGGTTTGGGTGGGGACGAAGATCTGCCAAGAGCTGTGACTGTGAATGGAGTCTAAAGAAAATTTCCCCACTCAGCTGGAAAGAGAAAACGAGACTGTGCCTTTGAAAGTATTTTGTAATCTCAAAAGCTGAATACAAATTTAAGGGACTATTCATTACGGTCCACATTCAAAACCATCAATTTAAAACTGATGGAAGTTTTGCTAATATTCATCTATAAAGCCACAGGGGTGGAAAGGAGACTTTTTACTACACCCCCCTTTGTACCTTTTGAATCATTCAAGAATAGTTTTAAAAACTTCTTTAAATCTATGCAAACCAATTCTCTCTTATTCATTAACGGTAATGATGGAGAAACAAGCCGAATCACCAGGATTTTTTGACTTATCCAGAAATAAGCCATAAAGAGAAGGCAATACTGCAACTCACAGTGACTTCCTTCATTCAAAAAGAATGATGCCCACTCGTAGAATAACATTAAGTGATCACATATTGAGTTAAAAGAAAATGAGCCAGAGTGGCTATGGGGGAAAAGGGCATTGCATTAATGTACAGGACTTGGATTCCAGGTGGGCTAAACTTCTGGGTGCCTCAGTTTTTTCATCTGTAAAGTGGGTATAACAAAACCTACCATGAAGAATCATAATGAAACTCAACTGAGATAACCTCTGTGAAGGCAGCTAGCACTTAATGACCTGCAACTCTGTACATGTTTGTTTGTTGAATCTTAGAAATACCAACTTTCACGTGCATCCACTGGAATGCTTTTGACTACAAATAACAGAAAAACTTGACTACAATGTCTGAGGTAAATAGGGCCTATTTTTCTCACTATATAATAAAAAGTCTCTGTAAATAAGCAGTCCAGGGCTAGGATAGAATAGGATAAGTGAGCAAAGTCCAGATTTGTCCAGGACCATTCCTGTTTTAGCATCAAAAGTCCTGCATCTCTAGATACCCCTCAGTCCCAAACAAACCATGAGGTTGGTCAGCCTAGCAATAATCATCAGTGATGCCATCAGGAATCATAATACTTCATTCTTTTTCACTTGGCCCTTCTGACTATTGCTTGTTGCCTCAAGGTTGCAAGATAGCTACTGTGCCTCCAGGCATCATGGTTGCATTCCAGGTAGGAAGAAAAGAGAAGGGCAAAAGGATCAAAGGCTTTCTCTTAGAGAGGTTTGCCTCTTATTCTGGAGAGAAAGCTTTCCTTGAAGACATGCACTTACATCTCGTTGGCCAGACCTGTTTCATATGGCCACCCCTTGCTGTAAGGGTAGCTAGGAAAATTGAGTATGCATTTTGTTTCCAACCCCTCAGTAGAAGAAACCAAGGGGAGAAGGTCGAGAAAGGCTTTTGGGCAGCCGATCCACAGTGTCTGCTACACCCCTTCGCTCTTTATTTCACCCAGCCGATGTCGAGCGCCTGCTGTGCAACAGGCACTGCGCTAAAAACTGCAAAGCGCAGACAGACAATAAGACACGACCCCCACGCTGAGGAAGCTCATGGTCTGGTACAGGCTATGTCAGAAGGCAGCCACGAGAGAGTGGGAAGTGCTGCATCGTCATATCTTGCCCAAGATGCAGGTAGGAATGACAGGGTTGGTGGATTAGCCAGGTAACAATGAATACAGTGTGCTTTCCAAGTAAGGATAAACCCAGAGATGTGAGGGCAGGACTTGGCAACAAGAAAGCTCTGGGAAGAAGGGCCAGTGGGTGTGAGAAGAAGGACTGCGTGTGTGGGGGTAAGTACCTCTCATCTCTGAAGACAACCTGCCTCAGGTCTTTGCTATGACATTAGGAAGCCATTCCGAAAACAGCATGTGTCTAGGAGGAGGTCTGAGTGGCCTTTAAGCACACCCAACAAAGAGCTGTACAAATTCCTCATGGAGACACGTCACCTCAAGTAAACGAGATTCAAAATCTACCCTTGAGAAAGAGTAAACCAAATTTATATCCTCTGCCTGAGGATCCTGCTGGGTGCCCACGCCCTCACCTTACTCTTGTTTCCTACTCTTTTGGCCTCAGAAGCCAGCCCCCTCTTCATTTCCCAGCTTCTGGCATCCCTCTTCCCCAGCGCATTGCTGGATCCTTCTCCAGGCCTGGACCTGGCCAGCCTCTGAACCAGGCAGGGCAGAGGCTGTGGACTCTGTGGCCAATTAGAGTCGGTGCCTGGTGCCAGCGACCTGCCCATGTTCCTGGAGAGCCCACGTCTCCTGGAGCACAGGAGAGTTCCTGCCTTAATCTGCTCTCAGGCTGAGCCACGGGAGCACACCTGTAACAGTCCTTCACATGCCTTCCATTATCTCATGGAAACATCCAAAAACAGTCCTTCAGGGTGGGGAGAGTTATCCCCAGGTAGCCAGCGAAGAAGTGAGGCAAGGAAGGTTAGGTAAACTGCCCTGGATTACCCAGTCGCTTAGTGATAGAGGTGGGATTCAAATCTCGGTTGGATTCTAAGGCTCCTGCTTTCCCCACCGGCACCATTTCTCTATACATAGCCGAGCTCTCTCCCCAGCCCCCTTTCCCTGCAAGCTTGTCTGTGCCCAGACCCCTGGCCCTGAGGGCATCCTCTGATGGAGGGTCTTGATCACCAGAGTCTGTGATAAAGTTTCATTTATTCCTCCACTCAACAGATATTTGAGTATCCCCATACGCAAGGTGTTGTACTGGGCTGTTGTGTTATTTTCTGGTTGCCTGAATCTGCCTATGGCTGGGCCAGCTGACCTCCAAGAATCACTGGCTGCCAGAGCTTGCTCGGTCCTCAGGGCACCATGGCAGAGCTGCCTGTGGCCGACTCAGACCAGCCCCAGTGGCACAGCTGAACCTCTTTCCATTTCCCCTGTGCATTAATGGCCCACTCGTGCCTTGCTTGTTTTCCTTTTCTGCCAGATCTGTTTGCAGTCTGGGCCTGGCGTGGTCACATCTGAGCCTGTTCCAATTATGACAACATAGCTAGTCACTGCTGTCACCAAAGTAAGGTGGTCAGAGGATGGGAAAGAAATGAAACAGCTCTTAGATCCAGCTGATTCTTGATAAACAATATGGTGAAAGTGGAGATTAAAGAATATATTTTGTCAGGTAGGAGCTGCCAATAATCACACTCTCTCCCCTGGGTGCAGGAGGCAGGGTGAGGGTTCCTAGGCAGGTGCCACGGAGGTTTAAGAAACGGAGACTTGCAGGGGTAAAATGGCCAACCAAGTTCACACACTGTCATTGCGTTTTCTCCTATTTGTAAAAGTAATACATGTTCACTGTGGAAAATTGGAAAATACCAAATAGTATAAAGAAAAAAATAAAAAGACTCTATGATACTATTACCCAGAGATGATAACCACCGTTAACATTCTGTGTTTACCTCTAGATTTTTTTTCTATGCATGTATATGGGTTTAGTCTGTACATACTGTTTTGTATTCATCTTTTATCACTTAACATTATTTGATACCATTTCCCCCTTGACACCAAGTGTTTTATAAAAACATCATTTTCTGTGGCTGCATAATATTCCGTTATATGGACATGCCATAATTGGTTCGACCTCCACTCTTGGCTATTTGGGTTGTTCCACCCTTCCATTTTGTCCTGTATAAATAATACTGAGATGAACATCTTTGTACATAAGTATTTGTGCCCATACCTGATTTTTTCGTTGGGCAGAATTCTGAGGGACAAACCACTTTGGCATGGTCTGTCTCTCTGCCCAGAAAGAAGGGACAGCGGGCACTAGTCACGACCAGGCTTCCTGATCAGCAGCTTTGGGGCACCCAAAGGGGGGGATGCTGAAGCAGGGGGCATAGGCACCTCAAAGCTTTGCTTCTCTTACTGTTTTTCTTTGAATGACCCCTGCTTTATTACTCAAAACTCTTTAGTTCAGAAATCTGCTGAAATCAGCTCAAGCAAACAAAAGAAGTGGAGATAAGAATGTCCGGCAGGAACTTAGCCAGTCCTCAGAGAGGGCCTGGGAAAGACTTCCTCTCCTCTCCCCATCTTCCCCCAGTTTCTGACTGAGCAGGTCTGGGGCAGGACAGAGAACTTGCACTTCTCATGTGTTCCTAGGTGACGCTGATGCTGCTAGCCCAGGGACCATGCTTTGAGAACCTCTGCTAGAGTACAACATGCAGGCTGGGGGCGGGGCAGACACCCTTCAAGACTGCTACCACACCCTGCTTTCTGGGTGAATTCTGTCCTCTCATTGTGATCTTGCCTGGTGGCACCAAAGCAAGGTTGTTACCACCTCTTGTCAGAAAGAGGCCTCCCCCAAGAAAGGCCCAAGAAGAAGAGAAAGTCGCTATGGCCTTTCCCTGAGGGTATCTCTCCCTCAGGGCCTTTTCTGAAAATTGACTCAATCAATTCTCAGAAGTTCTCTCATAGCCAGACTTTCTTCCCTCTGGCTAATACCTGGATGCTGATCTGCGGTTAAGGTGGTCTCTCCCTCTCAAGCCACTCCCTCCAAAGGGCTCCTCTGTTCCGGTACGGGACAAGCAGGGGTTGCTAGGGGACTCCGGGGCTGGAGCCCACCGCAAGGTGTGGCTACAGTGAGGAGGGGCCCAGCCCTGGGTTCTGGGTTGCTTGGAGGCTCACTAGACAGTGACTCCAAGAGGCAGCCCACGGGGGGAACTTACCGTCCACTGTGACGCCATAGAGGAGCTCAGGCTCTGGTGAAAACAATGAAGTGACGTTCGTGAAAGATCCTGTAAGATTATAAAGGAAGAAGCAACATTTATTGTGCTCCTACTTGGGCGGGCACAAAGTGCCTTATGTTGATCATCAATTTAATCCTCCCTGAAAACCTATGAATGCAGAGATGGGTACCATTATTCCCAAAATACATGTGAAGAAATTGAGGCACAGAGAGCCTAGGTTACTTGCTTAAGCTCTTAAACACTACTCTATAGCTGCTTCTGGGAGAAGCCTGAAAACCAAGAAAGAGCAGAGGGGAGGAAACTAACACATATATTCTTTTACTCGATCATTATGTAATACTCTATAAAATTATCCCCATTTATAGGTGAGGAGACTGAAGCTTAGTTAAGAAGCTTCCCAAGGTCACATAATTGGTAAGTGGGGAAAGGGGCAGGCTTCAGTGGTGGCAACAGAAATAAACAGTCAAGTAAGGGCTCAATGCACAGAGATGGGCAGGCTATAAATGCCTGCATGAACTGACTCTGGGGGATTGCAAATGCATGGCATATCCTTTTAACAGACTCCTAACTGAACAGTAAGATACCACATCTGAAAATTCTGACATGTGAAAATGATTACAAAATAAATATGCATTGAAAATGCAGGATATAAAACTATTTACAGAAAAATTCCAATGTACTATATCTTTTTTCCTATATCTATATCAAGACAGATATAACAGACTGGAAGAAAATACTCCATCTTGTTAAATAGACTTTTCAGGACAGTACGATTATGGATGATTTTTCTTTTCTTATTTTTTACGTTTTTTTTCTTTGTTTTACAATGGTCTTCTGTTATTTTCACAGCCATTAAAAGAAATCTTATTTATTTACACAGATGCAAGGGCACAGCTTCTTTCCTGACACCATCACCAGGGAGAGGATGAAAGCCTTATCCCATTCTGACCTTCTTCCTTTCCTACCTTCCTGCTTCATAAGTTGATTTTCCAAGGCTTTCCATTTGTGAGCTCTTGATGTTTAATGCACCTGTGAGCGAGCGTGGGGGGATGGCGTTTAATAGGATCTACTTTGAAGACCTCAGGAAGTGCTCTCATTTAGCCACACCTGGAAGCCCTGGTTTTCTCAGTGCTTTTCCCATCTAACCAGACTGTGGTGTGGTTTCCCCTGAAATCCTCAGCAGACTTCTGAGCACATAACCTTTAAGACTCATCTTGCTGTCTCTACCTCCCTCTGCCTTTAAATCATTGCCTGTGTAAAAAGCAAACCATGAAACTCAAGTTGAAGTTCTATGATCTTTAAAAGCTTTTTAAAATCAAACCAACCTGGAACTTAGTGATGTATAATGATAAAGTGGACTCCATTTATTTTTCTTTTTGTGATTTCATTCTCATACATTTCCACTTGTATTTGGAGGAGTTGAACACGTACGCTAAAGTGTTATTTTTAAAATTCTAGTTCTAGGGACTTCCCTGGCAGTCTAGTGGTTAAGACTCTGTGCTTCTACTGCAAGGGGCACAGGTTCAATCCCTGGTCAGGGAACTAAGATCTTGCATGCCATGCACGGCACAGCCAAAAAAAAAAAAAAAAGAAAAAGAAAAAATTCTAGATCTAAGTAAAAAGGAATCATATACAAAGACTGTCCACCAAAGATTGAAACAAAAAAGTAGCTTCAATTTAAAAACTAGTCCTTCAGTTGACTTAAAAATGAATTTAAACACTTCCCCCCTAGATTTGAAAAGTACCTCTCCTCCTCTTCTCTGAATAATTTTTTAAAAGGTCTTGGGTTCCATTTTCAAAATAAGTTCTATATTTCTAAGGGTGACACATTCCAAGTAACCAGAAACTGGCCTTGGCTTGGAAAACATCCCAGTTCTCATAAACATGCAATCACTAGTTCCTTTCAGGATGATGAATACTATTGATTGGCTCAGAGCAGCTTGTGACCCAGCAGTGGTATTAGACATTGGATATAAAACATCTCCTTATGAATTTTTAATTGGCTTGTGTGTCTGGAGAACTGGGCAGCTGCTTCCCTTCCCTGAGTGCTTACTCTCCCTGCTCGCCCTCCCTCCTCCTCTGTGTCCCAGGGCTGATGATGCCATTCTGCAGGGCCGCATTATTGGATCAGAGCGATTAGCTGTATAGCCTAATTTTCTGAGTCAAAATCCAATTTCTTTTTCAGGTACCACAGGCTTACGAGTAGTCATGTGCTTTTTGTTTTGCGATGGCATCACAGGATTACTAGCAGATGCAGTAAACTGAAGTCATTTCTCATTAACTGTATTCCTCATGATACTAAGAGAATGTGTCACTCTGAACTTGCATCCTCGAGCATTTTTCAGGAGAAAGAGTGCTTTCAGAAGCTCAAAGAAAAGCTGACAAAAGCCAAACTCTTAAGAAGCACTGTGTCAGGCACTTTCCAGTACCTTAGCTCATAATTCTCATAACAACCCCAAAAGAGGAGGAACATTATTCCCCCTTTTACACTGGTAGTAACTGAGTATCTTAGAAATACGGTAATCTCTCAGAATTCACGTGGATTTATCAAGCTCACACTGAAATAGGTGGCAAGGTGAAACCCTGGAACTCCAGACTTGATCAGGTGGCCAGAGCAAACCCAAGAGTCACCTTCTTCTAAGAGAACAAGGAAAGCTTCACTCAAAGCAAACTGTTCCCCTGCCACATCTCCATTGGTTAGATCTGGACAGAGTGAAAGATTCAAGTTCTCATGTCTAGAAATAGGGCTGTAGTCCCATTAACATTTGTATCCAGGTGAAACTGAATTAAAGTAAGCTTCAAGCACCAATTGGGAGGAGAAAATAAACAACACAAGGTCAGCAGGTAGTCCGGAACAGGGAGGGGTAAGGTCTCCAGTGGCGATTGGGTAGGGTGGAGGGTGGAAGGCCCTCTCCTTGGTCCTGCTTTCTCTGTAAAGCACGGAGAGAGAGCCTGTGAGAAACCTGTAACACACAGTGAGTGAGAGCTCTGAGTCCCTACACTACGGCTGACTCTTGCCAAATATTTTGTGGTACACTTAACTTAAAAGGAGGAAGAAAAAAATAGAGGAATCAGAAAATGCCCCATTGTAAATGAAAGTGAGAATTCTTCCTGGCTTTAGCCTCTGCTAAGGGAATCTAGATTCTACTCAGGAACAGAGACCACTTTTCACAAAATGTATGGTTTTGGTTCATCTCATTGACAGCAACCTGCCTACCTGAGCCATGAGCCCATAGCTGCCAGAAACAATGATGCCAAAAGAAATCTTTCTCTATCTCCAGGGTGTTCATCACCATAGCACAACTGCACCATTTGCTTCTGAGTCTTGGATACAAAATTTTTTTTCTTGTCTTATCTTTTAATTTAAAAAAATCATTTTATTTTACTTTGTTTTTTTTTGTTTGTTTGTTTTTATTATTTTGGGTTCTTGTCTTAGATCATTCAGTGACTTGCTGGGTGACCTTGAGTAAATCCCATCTTCTCTGTGGTCCTCTGTGAAGGGGCTCAGTTGGAATGACTGTAATTGATTAGTTATGTCTGCCATGGGTGCTGCATTAGAAAGTGGTGATATAAGTATTACATATTAGCCTTTTCTGAACTGGGTGATCTTAGGTTCCTAATTCTCTGTTGGGGAGTAGATGGAGATAAGCCTCTGAGGAGCAGTTAGTCATGGCCTGGAGCTCAGTGTAATCCTGAGGTGAGACAAGGCTGTTCTCACAGCCTCAGAAAAGTATGCTCTAACCTATTCCATTTTAGAAAAGCTGAGTGGGTGACTAACCTTTATTGCTTCCCTTCTCTCACCTGCCCCCCCCCCCCCGTTATTTCTCTCTCCATAATCCCCTTAGGCATACCCTGGGGGACTCTAGTGTCAATGTAGGCCTGAGGGAGGAGGTTCAGCAGACATCGGGGGAATATGTATTAGTTTTCTATAGCTGTGTAACAACATAACTGCAGACTTAGCAGCATCCAACCACGCATGTATTATCTCACAGTTTCTGTGAGTCATGAGTCAGGCCATGGCTTGACTTGGTTCTCTGCTTATGGTATCACAGGGTGCAGCCAAGGTGTCAGCCAGGGCTGGGCTCTCATCTGAAGGTTTGACTGGAGAGGGATCTGCTTCTCCAATCACTCATGTGGTCAAGCCATTCCTTGCAGTTATAGAACTGAGAGCTTTAGTTTCTTTGCGAGCTGTTGGCTCAGGAGGACCCTCAGCTCCTCCTGAGGGTTCACCCACTATTCCTGCAACGTGCCATACCAGCCAGCAAGGGAGAGACTCCAGCCAGATGGGCTCTACAGTCTTATGTGATACAAACTTGGGGGTAAAACTGAAGACCAAAAACACACATCCACCTAGCTAGTCCCTTCTCCAGAGTTGAGATGATTATGCTGAGATGCCTAAGAAGACTATGTTGTTTTTGCTGCTGGACATTAGGCCTTTTCCTAGATCCACCCCTTGAATTTATACATTAAAAATCCCATATGACCCCAGAGAAATCCCAAAAGTTAGTTATCTGATCCATACTGAATAGAAATGTCATGCTGTGGATTCTTCAAAACTCATTAACCTGACACCTTCATTGGAATGGTTGTGATTTTCTAGACAGCAGCTGTTAGCACATCCATTTCACAGATATTAAAGACTGATTGGATGACAGGATTCTTTGCCACTCTTCACTGAATATCTCATACTAATTACACAGTTTCCAAGCCTTCAGAACTTTCCTGAAAATTTGTGTTTATTGGTAAACTTTTAATCAAACCAGATGTGCAAAGTACCGCATTAAGCTCAAGGATGTCATTCTGGAATATCACAGGTGAAAGAACTCGCGTGAGTCCTCTAAATTACTGCCTAGACCCACAGTCCTCAGTCTCAGTGGACATCTCTGCTTCTCATTTATCCTGAGGAAATAGGGCCTGTGGTAGAATATTATACAGTCACTTCCTTACAACCATGCTCTCCTGAATTTTGGAAGCCTCGTTTCCCTGTATTTTAGACTTAGTGGAGTAAACAAGCTAATAGTGCCCCTCGAGAGAGAGTTCACTAGTTA